TCAGATGTGCCGAACTTAGCCAATTCACTAGTTTGTGTTATGATTTGGTTTTATTAGCTAACGACAATCACAAACAATTAATTGTAGGAAGCAAGGATACTCGTAGATTTTCGCGATTTTCCTTCATGCTTTAAATCTAGGCTTAGGACTAGCAGAAAATTTATGTTTACGGTTAAGAGTAAAACTTTTGCGGCGCATTTAAAAATCGGCTTTATACAATGATTTCTTTTTACATATTTTTTTAGTATATTTTTTGTTTTTCTGTTTGTTTTTATTATTTTTCAAACCATTTACAAAATCAAACCTAATTACTTCAGGTTAGCGTCCAAAAATGTAAGTTGCTCGACTTATGATGTTTTCAGACGACATATCTTTTCAGTAATAAATAATCCCGCCTCAGAGAAGAGCAATAGATTTCCGTAAACAGCAAATCGAAATCGGACTTCCGAGCACGAAATCTGACTTCCGAAAACGAAAGCACGAATTTCGAATCCGATTTACATACGTTTTGGTTCGGTTAGATTTCTGAAATCGGATTTTCTTGTTGAGAAATCGTTCGGTATCGATTTGTGTTTGAAATCGGATTTTGGATTCGTTTTGATATATCGGACGCATGCCTACTACCTGTCCAGCGGCTGCGTATCCAAAATATCCCGCATGCACTGTATTATCGTCTGCATACTGAGTAGGCAGACCGTATCCAGGAAGCTTGGAGAGAAAACTTATGTGCCAGACCCTATCAAAGCCTCGGCGATGTTAAGGCTGATAGCCAAAGACTCACCTCGCTTATCGATAGCCTCACCCCAGATATATGTCACGAACGCTAGAAGGTCACCTGTCGATTCGATCTATCCTCTTTTACTTGTCTCAAATATAACGCAAACATATTATATATATTTTTTTTTGCAAAAAGCGACAGATTTGTTAGTTTTTACTTCATCTAGTAAAATTAAAATATCTGGTAAAATTCAAACAGTTAAGTCAACAACAGTCAAAGCCAATTACAGGATACTCACAGGATATTTACTCTAAGTGTCTACATGAAAAATGAGTTTAAATCCGGAACTTGGTTTCAGCGGTAATACATTTACAAACTCAAGTGTTTTGAATGGGTTTATTAGGTTTTAAATCAAGAATTTTGGAAATAATTTGCAGTTATTCTGTTTATTCATTAGCTATTTCAGGAAGTATGCGTCGTAGAGCATAATGGGTTTTACCTGTAGATGCGGCTTAATGAGACGTCGATTGGTATTATAAAAGTTCAGTAGCGGGAAAGTGCAGAATCGGTTTTGGTACTAATGGGACGATTTACTAACTGATAAACTTCTCGCTTTCTAAACGCGCTTTGTTCGTTATTTTGAAAATGTACATATTAATAAGTATAATTAGTAATAATAATTAATAGGAGTAACAATTAATTAATTCTTCATTAATAATTCTTATTAAAAAATAATGAACAAAAATATTTACAAAGAATAAGGAAATTTATTTAAATTCAAAATAGGGAACACTTCTACTACAAAGGCGATGTTCTTGGCTGTATCTTTTCGGTGGTCATTTTTTTACCATTTCGGTAGACAATTTTCATTTCAGTAGACTGCCGAAAACTCATGCTTAAATATTTCAGTAAGTGGTGATTGTTGAATTTGACCCGTAGGATCGTTTAAAAATGGAAAAAAAACCATTAACAATATATTTTCTTTTTTTATTTTGCACCTTTAATTGCATTTTGTGCAAAAACTATGGGAGATACGCGAAAATATGTTGATACCTTTTTAGTAGGAAATAAAATTTTCTACAACTTTGTACTAGGAACTTTTTCTATTTTTCCAGCCAGTCGCGAGATATTGACGAAAAATTCGTTTTTGCACCATTTCGCATTTTTTTTCACCTTTACCGTCAATGCAGCACCCTGCAATTTTAGTATATTAATCTACGAACCCTTGCGGAAATTTTCGCATTGGTTACAGGTGATCAACTCAAAATGGCAAAGTTAAGCCTTCATTGACTGGAATAAAAGGAGATAGTTGTTTAAAAATGGTCTGAAGTTTGGATAAAAAAACCGCTATTATAGATTCTGAAACAGTTTTCTTATTGCCAACAATAAAACATACAATTTCATAACTAAAAGAATAGTCATTTATGCAACTGTTGCATAATGATAAACCCACATTCGTGTTTTAATACCTTATTATAACAGTTGCATACTAGACTTTATTGTACACCTATGATATGAATCCTCTATAAAAGATTCTGAAACAATGGGGCGTTCTAAAAACTTAAAATTAGGTATCAAAATACTCATGTGAGACTATTATCATACGAGGCGAACCACATTCGTGTTTTATAATAGCCTTCATTATACAACAGTTGGTTATATACCTATATTGTAATATAAAAGACTAACACTAAAATATAAATAAACACTTTGTAAGCATGCGACTAACGTATAAGTTACTAAAACAAAAGTCAATAAAAACATGCAAATGAAATATAATACATTATTATTCAAGGCTTGCCAAAAATACAAAGGACGAATGAACCACACCAGAAAAACGGTTAATAGTAAGATTTGGACACAACGAATTTTGTTAAAATTCTAAAAAAAAACAATTTTACCATTGGCCTGTTATAGCCGCACCACTCACAGCCGATCCCTATATTCAATCTATAAATCTTTGTTTAAAACCAATCCTAGACTGTTCATGAACTATGTAGCGATCTGTAATCCACGTTTCAATATCAGGGAGGTGCACAATCCGCCAGGAATAACAACAGTTTACAGTTAAATCCATTTCTCAACAAAGTGCCTGCTTCTTTAAACTTGACAACAGTTTCTCCTTTTCATTCCGTATAGAGTATGAGCCAAGCCACTGGACGGATCGGGCTGAAATTTGGCATGCAGGTAGATGTTATGACGTAGGCATCCGTTAAGAAAGGATTTTGATCAATTCTACCCCCAAGGGGATAAAATAGGGAATGAAAGTTTGTATGAAACTTTGTAAATTTTAAACCGATCGGGCTGAGACTTTGCTTGCAGGTATAAGAAGAATCATAGATGAATGTCCATTGTGTTTAATACAAGCCTGAGAACGAAAACTGTAGTCTACACTTCAGCTCTACACCGAAGCGAAGCGAGGGCGGGCTGCTAGTGCAAAATAAATCTCTGCGCTACACCCTATCCCACATAAACTAATATCACCAAATCCCTATAGCTATCGAGCAGCATTTCTCCAAACCGTCGAAAACAACAGATAGAAAAAGAAAATAGTTTACCTTTGACAAATCGTCTTTCAAAAACAGCAGTTTGCATATTGAAACACCGAAACTGCTATTTTCATACAAAATTTCTATCTTAAACTGCTGATCGGTCCTTCCACGAATAGTTTACATTGATGGATCAAAGATTCCAACCAATGTTTGATTATTATAACGTTATAAGCAATCCAAAGATTAAAAATTCAATCTACGATTGGAGTTTTCGGATTGTGATTGATATTAGGATCAGCCGTTAGTGTTTGAAGGTAAGCAATCTTAAACCATGCTGTACTGTATTTATGATTATAATATTTTAAGAGCGATTCTTATATTTTCAGAGTAGCTAACTTCACGTTGAACTGTAAATATTGTTTCTCTGCACAATTACCATGATTTCATTATTGCAAATTGGTCTTATTCTCTAAATTTTACGACACAAATTATGAAGGTAACTAAATGTGTTATTAAGCATTTTTAATAAACTTTTTTAGTATCGATACTGGCAAGAAACTGTTACTATTTCTTGTTTACAAAAAATAAATTACTTTAATCTAACTTAAAATTAGGAAATATAATGAAGCAATAATGTAGTTTTGTGGCATTACTATAATAAAAATATTTAAAACGATGAATAAATTTAAAAATTATTTTCATCTTAGCAAAGAAATGATCTTGAAGAAAATTTCAATATTTATATTCATTTCTATAAAACACTTTAAGGCATTTTCTTGCTATAACAAACATTAATTTGCACATAATAGCAGTAGTGTGCAACCGAAACAAAAAAAACACAGTGGAAAGTAATCCAGAACAAAGATTAATAGATGTGCTTAACTAGAAATAGCTATTTCTCAGCATGATTCTCAAATAGTTATCCTGGCGAATGTACACAAAGCACACACACAATCAAGACGTTGTGCATCTAACATCAGTTTGCGGTAGGCCGGTGTCACACGTGCCCATGTTACATCGAAACAAAAAAAATGTATAGATTTCATCAAGGTTATAATCAAAAGAAGGAAAAGAAACACGATCAGAAGGGTGGTATTATCAATTGGAAAGTTATCATCAAAGGTTGAGCAAATTTAATGTGTAACCTCCTCGAATGTGTTCCAACATAGTGCCAGATAATATTGTATTTGAAATTTGTAGTCAAAAGTACTGTTTACAAAAATAATTACATTTTCTAATGCAACATGGAATATCCCTAGCGCATTACCTCCGCTCCATATTTTTTTCATATTCCATGAGATGTGGAAAATACTAAGTTATTTGACTTCAGTCTTCTGATACTTTACAAAACTGAAATGGACGTGTTTGTGTCTCTGATGTATCGTATCGTATGTAAAAATGAAGAGCTATTCCGAAACTTTTTTATCACCTCTGACTATCAAACTCCATACGACTATGACAATTGAGCATTTTAAAGGTGATATGTAGCATATCGCAGTGCTAATACTAGGATGGTTGGATTGCATTATTGGAACACACACAATAAGGTCTATTTTAAATCGATTGCTGGCGACCGTATTCAGAGACGTCAAATAAATGTAAAGACTTTTCAAGTCATGTGCTGTCTGACTCTATTGTTATAGCAAAGAAACTGACCGCAATAGCTACTAACAAACTCATACATTTATTTATGTACGACTGACAGTTTCTTAATTGATGCCTCTAGGTACGGCTGTGTTTTTCTGCTCAACCCCTTTTGTGAAAGTATAGAGTAGCGCGGTCCTAGCCACCTTGTTAGCCGGATCTAGCCGCAGCCGCCACGAGGGTCGCCGCTCGCTGTTCGCCGCGATCGTCGCGGTTGCAGTCGCCGTCGCAGACGCCAAAGCGAGCGACACCGCAACGTCGCCAACGCCGCGCGCCTACGCGACAGTATGAAGCGTCTCAACTTTCAACTTATTGCCCAGTAGTAGCGTTTTTGTTTTTGTAAAAAGGTCCGATATGACTTCGCCCTGATGTAAAGCTACGATGTAATCCAGATGCGAATACAGCTGGGTGCAGCAGTTTTACCTACCACACCAGCCATGATCAACCTGCCCACCGGCAAGCTGCTTCTTCGCATCCTTCTTTAAACGCGTCTTCATTCCCCTTATTCCAAAAAGCGGACTAAAGTTAGTCTTGGTCTAAACCTTATATTGTCTTTGTCTTCTTTTTGACAGAGTGACAACATCAGTTTTAGTTCAGGTTTAACTTTAGTCTTAGTTTTGTAATAAGGCGGCATAGGTCGTGTAGATGTAAATACTGTTCACGTAACCATCAGAACTTCCATCAAATTGCGAGATCATTTACTTTACTTTACCCGGTTACTTTATCCGTCGTTTAGAATACATGAGAGATTTTTAGATATAAGTATGTTTTATACTACACCTGGTCGAAAAATGCTTTATAATTATATGAAAAATGCAGCAGAACAGACCTCATTACTGTTGTACTTCTAAGCTGGCTGGAAAAGTGTACGGAAATCCATTTTTAATGCGCCGAGCGGGCAAAAAAGTCTATAGAAATTCATTGCTAACGTGCTGTAAATTAATTTACTTTTTTTTTATGTATGTTCCGAAAAGTTCTCAGTATGATTTTGTAAACTGCTATCTATTTTCTAACATTATGCTATTTGCTTTCTGTACATTAAATTTGAAAAAACAACAAAAAGTAAAAAGCGCTCTGATAACAACGTATATTAAGCTAGCAGACCATGGTCGCAACGCGCACATCTAACCTACTGGGTATTTAGTTGCTAATTAGTTACACTATTCCCGATTTAGTTGCTCAACACCTGTAAAAGATACATGCGATCTGCTAGCTTAAGTCTTAACCTAGCAGACCACAATACTGTATCTTCGGTTCTCGTAAAGATATCGAAGTTCTGCAAACGGCATATTTAGTTGCTAATTAGTTACACTATTCCCGATTTAGTTGCTCAACACCTGTAAAAGATACATGCGATCTGCTAGCTTAAATCTTAACCTAGCAGACCACAATACTATATCTTCAGTTTTCGTAAAGATATCGAAGTTCTGCAAACGGCATATTTAGTTGCTAATTAGTTGCTGTAGGACAGCATTATTTGTTTTATCCCCCCATCATCCCTTAATTGCCGCACCAGCACCCACACTACCCCCCAAATACGATAAAATTAAAAAGAGCTCATCAGAGAATATAAACTACGGCGTATTTCGTTGCTAATTAGTTGCTGCAAAATAGCGTTGCTTATAGTATTTAACTATCAACCCTTAACTCCAAATCAGCACTGCAACCACCCCCGAATAGGACGATATCGGAAAATTCTCGTAGGTGGAAAAAGACGCGGCATATTTAGTTGCTAATTAGTTGTTTGCCAAAAACGCAGTTAAGAGTATTCTACAATCATCCCCTAACCTCAGATGCAACCCCTCTACTCACTTAGAAACAGTAGATGATTAAAATTCGCACGCAGTTGTTTAAGACTGCTGGATGTTTTGTTGTTAATTAGTTGCTGAAAAATAGCGTTGCTTATAATTTTTGATTATCAACCCTTAACTCCAGATCATCCCTGCTACCACCCCAGAATAGAACGATATCGGAAAATTCTCGTAGGTGGAAAATAGACGCGGCATATTTAGTTGCTCGCCAAAAACGCAGTTAAGAGTATTCTACAATCATCCCCTAACCTCAGATCCAACCCCTCTACTCATTTAAAAATAGTAGACGGTCGAATTCGCACGCAGATGTTTAAAACTGCTGGATATTTTGTTGCTAATTAGTTGCTCGTCAAAAACACAATCAAGAGTATTCTATAATCATCCTCTAACCTCAGATCCATCCCCTCTACTCACTTAAAAATAGTAGATGGTTCGAATTCAAACGCAGACGTTTAAAATTGCTGGATATTTTGTTGCTAATTAGTTGCTGCGAAAAAGCGTTGCTTATAGTATTTAACTATCAACCCTTAACTCCAGATCATCCCTGCAACCACCCCAGAATAGGACGATATCGGAAAATTCTCGTAGGTGGAAAAAAGACGCGGCATATTTAGTTGCTAATTAATTGCTCGCCAAAACCGCAATTAAGAGTATTCTACAAACATCCCCTAACCTCAGATGCAACCCCTCTACTCACTTAGAAACAGTAGATGGTTAAAATTCGCACGCAGATGTTTAAAACTGCTGGATATTTTGTTGCTAATTAGTTGCTCGCCAAAAACACAATTAAGAGTATTCTACAATCATCCCCTAACCTCAGATCCATCCCCTCTACTCACTTAAAAATAGTAGATGGTTCGAATTCAAACGCAGACGTTTAAAATTGCTGGATATTTTGTTGCTAATTAGTTGCTGCGAAAAAACGTTGCTTATAGTATTTAACTATCAACCCTTAACTCCAGATCATCCCTGCAACCACCCCAGAATAGGACGATATCGGAAAATTCTCGTAGGTGGAAAAAAGACGCGGCATATTTAGTTGCTAATTAGTTGCTCGCCAAAACCGCAATTAAGAGTATTCTACAAACATCCCCTAACCTCAGGTGCAACCCCTCTACTCACTTAGAAACAGTAGATAGTTGGAATTCGCACGCGGATGTTTAAAACTGCTGGATGTTCTGTTGCTAATTAGTTGCTCGCCAAAAACGCAGATAAGAGTATCAACCCTTAACTCCAGATCATCCCTGCAACCACCCCAGAATAGGACGATATCGAAAAATTCGCGTAGGTGGAAAATAGACGCGGCATATTTAGTTGCTAATTAGTTGCTCGTCAAAAACGCAGATAAGAGTATTCTACAAACATCCCCTAACCTCAGATGCAACCCCTCTACTCACTTAGAAACAGTAGATGGTTGGAATTCGCACGCGGATGTTTAAAACTGCTGGATGTTCTGTTGCTAATTAGTTGCTCGCCAAAGACGCAGATAAGAGTATCCTACAATCATCCCCTAACCTCAGATCCACCCCCTCTACTCACTAAAAAATAGTAGATGGTTCGAATTCACACGCAGATGTTTAAAACTGCTGGATATTTTGTTGCTAATTAGTTGCTGCAAAATAGCGTTGCTTATAGTATTTAACTATCAACCCTTAAATCCAAATCAGCACTGCAACCACCCCAGAATAGGACGATATCGGAAAATTCTCGTAGGTGGAAAAAAGCGGCGGGACATTTAGTTGCTAATTAGCAATACGATATTCTGCAGTAATACATCTACGAGCCTATTCTGGCCGATTTTTTATTGTAAAGAGAAAATGATGGTCGATCTGAGGTGAAGAGACGATTGTAGAAAAATATCCCGCATTTTTTGTACCCATAAGGGTGGCAGCTGGGATGATTTGGAGTTAAGGGTTGATAATCAAATATTATAAGCAACGCTATTTTTCTGCAACTAATTAGCAACAAAATATCCAGCAGTTTTAAACATCTGCGTGCGAATTCCAACCATCTACTGTTTCTAAGTGAGTAGAGGGGTTGGATCTAAGGTTAGGGGATGATTGTAGAATACTCTTAACTGCGTTTTTGGCGAGCAACTAATTAGCAATTAAATATCCCGCGTCTTTTTTCCACCTACGAGAATTTTCCGATATCGTCCTATTCTGGGGTGGTTGCAGGGATGATCTGGTGTTAAGGGTTGATAATCAAATATTATAAGCAACGGTATTTTTCAGCAAGTAATTAACAACAAAACATTAAGCAGTCTTAAACATCTGCGTGCGAAATTTAACCATCTACTGTTTCTAAGTGAGTAGAGGGGTTGCATCTGAGGTTAGGGGATGATTGTAGAATACTCATAACTGCGTTTTTGGCGAGCAACTAATTAGCAACTAAATATCCCGCGTCTTTTTTCCACCTACGAGAATTTTCCGATATCGTCCTATTCTGGGGTGGTTGCAGTGCTGATCTGGAGTTAAGGGTTGGTAGTTAAATACTATAAGCAACGCTTTTTCGCAGCAACTAATTAGCAACAAAATATTCAGCAGTTCTAAACATCTGCGTTTGAATTCGAACCATCTACTATTTTTAAGTGAGTAGAGGGGATGGATCTGAGGTTAGGGGATGATTGTAGGATACTCTTATCTGCGTTTTTGGCGAGCAACTAATTAGCAACAGAACATCCAGCAGTTTTAAACATCCGTGTGCGAATTCCAACCATCTACTGTATCTAAGTGAGAAGAGGGGTTGCATCTGAGGTTAGGGGATGTTTGTAGAATACTCTTATCTGCGTTTTCGACGAGCAACTAATTAGCAACTAAATATGCCGCGTCTATTTTCCACCTACGAGAATTTTCCGATATCGTCCTATTCTGGGGTGGTTGCAGGGATGATCTGGAGTTAAGGGTTGATAATTAAATATTATAAGCAACGCTATTTTTCAGCAACTAATTAACAACAAAACATCCAGCAGTCTTAAACATCTGCGTGCGAATTTAAACCATCTACTGTTTCTAAGTGAGTAGAGGGGTTGCATCTGAGGTTAGGGGATGATTGTAGAATACTCTTAACTGCGTTTTTGGCGAGCAACTAATTAGCAACTAAATATCCCGCGTCTTTTTTCCACCTACGAGAATTTTCCGATATCGTCCTATTCTGGGGTGGTTGCAGTGCTAATCTGGAGTTAAGGGTTGATAGTTAAATACTATAAGCAACGCTTTTTCGCAGCAACTAATTAGCAACAAAATATCCAGCAGTTTTAAACGTCTGCGTTTGAATTCGAACCATCTACTATTTTTAAGTGAGTAGAGGGGATGGATCTGAGGTTAGGGGATGATTATAGAATACTCTTAATTGTGTTTTTGGCGAGCAACCAATTAGCAACAAAATATCCAGCAGTTTTAAACATCTGCGTGCGAATTCGAACCATCTACTATTTTTAAGTGAGTAGAGGGGTTGGATCTGAGGTTAGGGGATGATTGTAGAATACTCTTAACTGCTTTTTTGGCGAGCAACTAATTAGCAACTAAATATGCCGCGTCTATTTTCCACCTACGAGAATTTTCCGATATCGTTCTATTCTGGGGTGGTTGCAGGGATGATCTGGAGTTAAGGGATGATAATCAAATATTATAATCAACGCTATTTTTCAGCAACTAATTGACAACAAAGCATCCAGCAGTCTTAAACAACTGCGTGCGAATTTTAACCATCTACTGTTTCTAAGTGAGTAGAGGGGTTGCATCTGAGGTTAGGGGATGATTGTAGAATACTCTTAACTGCGTTTTTGGCAAACAACTAATTAGCAACTAAATATACCGCGACTTTTTCCACCTACGAGAATTTTCCGATATCGTCCTATTCGGGGGTGGTTGCAGTGCTGATTTGGAATTAAGGGTTGATAGTTAAATACTATAAGCAACGCTATTTTGCAGCAACTAATTAGCAACGAAATACGCCGTAGTTTATATTCTCTGATGAGCCCTTTTTAAATTTTTCGTATTTCGGGGGTAGTGTGGGTGCTGGTACGGCAATTAAGGGATGATGGGGGGATAAAACAAATAATGCTGTCCTACAGCAACTAATTAGCAACTAAATATGCCGTTTGCAGAACTTCGATATCTTTACGAGAACCGAAGATACAGTATTGTGGTCTGCTAGGTTAAGACTTAGCTAGCAGATCGCATGTATCTTTTACAGGTGTTGAGCAACTAAATCGGGAATAGTGTAAGTAATCAGCAACTAATTAGCAACTAAATACCCAGTAGGTTAGATGTGCGCGTTGCGACCATGGTCTGCTAGCTTAATATACGACTGATAACATGGTCTGCAAAAAAAAATTTTTGCACTCCTTATTATTGTGCACGATTTTATAGCTGTGATATTTCTCAACAGAAACTGGGTTTTAAAAAAAATTGCACCACGTATATGTTTATTGTGAGGGATTTTTTAAGAAAATTCTTTTTTGATCGAAAAATCAATGATCGTTTAAATAATTAGGACAAAATATTACATATAATCACACTAAAAACATTAAACATCATAAGACAACGTAATCACATGTTGTTTCTATCATTTTACTTAGTAGTTTTTTTTTATCTTTTCACATTTTCTACTAGAATTTCGTGACGAATCAACCAACAAAAATCGGCAAGCATTGCTTCCGGACATTTTCCATTGTAGCGCCTCTCGATGTGCGATATGTCCTGATGAAATCTTTTACCGTGTTAATCAGATACCCCTCCAAATTTTTCGGGAAAGAAATTTAATCAGATACCCCTCCAAATTTTCGGGAAAGAAATCTAAGTGAGAATCTAGAAAATGAAGTTTTATGACTTTTTTTGAGCCAACCTCTTAACTTCCTTGAACAACAGTTGCAGCATATTTTCGGGAGCCAATTGTACCTGTCGATGATAGAAAATCCCAAAATAACGCTCATAAGCGATTAAAACCAGACTAGTCAATGTGTTCCGTTGATATTTTATGGTAAATTCACCACAAATGTAGCAAAACACGTCAGGAGAGTTTTTGCAAATCCTTGGCATTTTGTACCTACAACAAAATTAAATTTGCTGTAAAATTCATATAATATTCTACTCACGGGATTCTATTTTGCTCTGTTTTCGTTACATGTATCAATATAATATAATACTTACCGAAATACTAGGTTAAAATCAGTAACAATCACTTTACTACTTTAAATCGAACTGAGCGCCACGGAGTCACAGCGCAAACGTATGCATTAGTGTAAAAACTGTAAAAATACCATCAGTCGATATCGTTCTCTCTATTTCTATCAACCCAAGTCGTTTTTGTGTGGAAAAATATGATACAGACTGAATAAATTAGCGTTAGTGCAAGAAAGACACAAAATATACAGAATTTCGAGGTATTTAAAAAAAATAACAAAGAAAAATGCGTGATAGCAAACAATAGAAAGCAAATCTAGATTCAGCATGTTAAGCTCTTTATATTTATCATATTTTTATTTAAAGGAGGATTTCGTTGCAGACCTTACTTCAACTAAGTTTTTAAGTTGTTTTCCTATCTACTCGAGACGGCGTATTATATTACTGATAACGACGATTTATTGACACCGTTACAATTAAAAGAAACTACCTAAGCAGTTTTTGAGAACCCATTACCCGTGAAATCAAGAAACTAATATAAAGCTCCCAGGCTAAAGTTTAGTAATTGTAACAACTTTAATATAAATTTTAATTAAATAATTGTCTTTTATTTCGTCGCAGGTATAGTATAAAGCACTATGCATCCCTCGAAAGAAAGGGCTATTCCCAACTCTTATTTTAAGGCCTTTGGCTGCGCCTCGGGTATCAAACTACACCCTCGTTGGTAATCAGCTACTTTTTCTTCTTAAGTGAATAATGTACTATTTATTTATATCATCGAATTTGTTCGATTAATGAACATATAACAAAAAAAGATACTCTAATAAATTGCGACCAAAAAAATTTTGGTCTGGAAAGTACGACAGTTCTGATTTTGAACAGGTGACTATTTAACAGAGAACAATTATCTATTAATGGCTAATTATTTTTTATACTTCATACCCTTTTTCGTACTTATACTGAAAGAACACAATAAATCTACAAATATTATGCAGTCTATATAAACAGATCCAGCACACTCTAGGCCTTCCAGTTTCAAGTACAATACGTGAGCTGACAGGGGATAACATATTTTGTGAACTATTTTCATATTTGTACTGAAGCATGAGCTTAACTGGTATGCTGTCCAACTAAGTACAAGGCTGTGGAAACGTCATTTAAACCCGCGATCTTTTTTTAAACTATAAATTAAGCAAAGGTGATATATGACGTCATGATAACCGTATACTCGAGGGCATGGTACATGGTAATGGCCGTATTAACAAGAGCGAAACATTTGTAAATCAAAAATTAATAACTTTAGTAGCTTGCGCAGACAAGGGACTTTTGTCCATCCCTTTAAACCGGATCGAGCGCGCAAAACGAACTAAAGTACTCTGTGTCCGTTGCTGCTCCTAGTCACACGAGTTCTATCTTTTTCGAGGACATCCGCGTACTTTTGTCCAAGGTACTTTTAATACGTCCACGTATGCGTTACTCTATGCAGTTGTAAGCGATCTATTTGATTGATAATTATCCCTCGCCTGCGCAGACCATAAAACAAACATTATAGGGTCGGTGAATGGTGGCCAAACCGACAACACATACATTTACAAACTCAACGTATGTACAGACTATATTGAAACGATTCATAGCAGATTTTGAAGTTTATAATAATCATAATTATACCTGCATCATCATACTATACAAGCCTAAGTTATTTTTGGAAGCTCCATTAATATCAGTTCTATTCCCGTCACCAATTTATGGATTATTCACTATAAGCTTGCCTACTGCCTTGTCCAGAAGACGGATTAATGCGCAAATAATTTCGAAAAATGATTAAACGGTGTAAGGCCCACTTGCACCATAATACTTAATTTCTAATCATGTTTAAGCCTCATTCTATCTCTTTTTTACTTGAAACAATCGACAGAGATGGAATAATGTATAAACAGGATTAAGCCTTAATTTGGTTATATTCTTGGTGCAAGTGGCCCTAAGAATATGTATTTTCGATGTTATACATACATAGTATTACGCTTATGACGCGCGTCTACCTGGGCAGGTAGCAGCATTAATAACCCTTCAACCTCTGCTAGCGGTTATTATCCAAGCGATCAAAACAAACTCACCGGGCCGTTGTCATTGTGGGCGGGTGCAGATGTGTCGTCCGTTTTCTTCAAACTGGCAGGCGATGGGCTTTCGGTGGTGCCGTTGCCGGCCTTCTTCTTAACGAGTTGTTCAGCTGATTTGATCTCGTCCAAAGTCACGCCTTGCGTGGAACGCCGCGTTTCGCGAACGCGTTTAGCGTGCGCTTTCCTTTGCGTCTCACTCTCTTCGTCCCGTACAGGCGGTACAAACGATCTGTCACATACCATCACATACAATCTCTGATGACACACCGTCCAGTTGACGACAAAAGCACGAAATCAATGGATTAATTATGCAAAACGGCACACATTGAGTGTTACATTCTGACCAAAACATCTCATGCAGAACGAAACGGATATCTATGTTATTATGTACGATCACAGGTCAACATGCGCGGTAAGAACCAAAACGCAAATAAAAACGGGTCTGCAGTGCTAAAAAGAAATAAAGAAACAAATGAAGCTAATTAAAAGACAATCAAAGGCACTTTGCTTGAAAATATCTTGGCATAAACGCAAATAAAAACGGGTCTGCAGAGCTAAAAAGAAATAAAGAAACAAATGAAGCTAAATAAAAGACAATCAAAGGCACTTTGCTTGAAAATATCTTGGCCATAACTCGAATATTTTTTGCATTTATCTACCTACTTCTACTATTAGTATGTACTTTTTGGAAGGCAAGTTATTTGTAGAGGTGGAAAACTACCTGAATATCTTTGGCAAAACCGTATTATACATCAGACTTTCACTAAAAATATACGAATTCACAGATAATGTTAATTTCTTGAGCTAAAAAAGGACAATAATGAAAGGTTTATTTATACTTCTTTTTCCATTTGACTGTACAGCCAAGAAATTACTTGCATTTTTATTGATATTTAATTTGAACTCATTGTCAATAGATGATAATGCCTTATTTAAGTTATATTTATTTATATTAGTTGTCTCCATTTACTAGATACCATACGTCATCTAAGAAATCTGAACAAAACACTTCGTAATTAAATCGAAAATCAATGAGGTCAAAGTGCTTTGGTAAGTGTAACACATAAGCGGGTCGGCATTAATCGGCACACCGGGCGGAAAAATCGTATATATGTAGTTGAATATACGGCAGTAATTACTACGGGTCGGGTATGTTGTTTGAAAAATACTGCCGAAACGACTTTGCCGGCCCAATTATGTGTATAGCTTACCCTAAGGCTCACTACATGTTAGGTCGAATATTTCCAAGCAAAGCGTTCCAGTTGGAACGCTTAGTTTTTTCTAGTTAGAAGCTTTTTTCTAGTTAGAAGACAGTAAATACTTGAAGAAGTTCTTGAAAATGTTCCCGGGCGACAGTTTGGTGGGCGTTGCGGAGCTGGGTGTGGAATTGCTACTGTTCGACTCAACGCTACTCTCCGGTGCGCTATCCCACACAATACATACATAACTTTTACATCGTCACTAAACACTACACTACAACCTACGATAGACAGACCTAATACTTGAGGCCACTAACACCATCATTCTATATTTATAATAACACTTAATCTTTCATTCCATCTTTGTCAATAGTTTAAATTTAAATAGAGATAGATAGAATGAGGCTTAGACGTACGTTATTAGGTCCTTTTTGACGATGATTTAAGATTTTAGTGTAAGTGGGTCTTAATCTCATTTGAGGTTTTTTTTTTCTAATGATTCAAATTTAGGCCTTTTTCAACATCTAATAAAGGTACGGAGTTTTGCCGTAATACAACGTTATTTTAACATTCAATAGAATGATAACTACAATACTGCTAAATGCTCATTTTAAAAAGTAACAAAAATTAACGTTATATAAATTCTATTTGACTTTTAAATCTATCTTGAATATAAAGGTACTGTTTAAATGCGATACCAATATCTTTTCTTTAAAATTATGTAAATATATTGCAGATGAAATAAGAGTCAATTCAACTGTTACATTCATAATCCAGTAACAGTTCATTTCAAATTATTATAATAGATATCAATTAAAAATCTAGAATCTAGTCTAATTAGGTGTTTAGTATCTAAACAAGTAATCGTATGGCTTACTTAGAAGGCCCTCTATTCTGTGCCCTTAGCACGAACCAATTTCGAATTCGATCTCGTGTCGTCAAACGTCTAGCAGTTTTGTATGGTTTTTTTTTATAGAAAAGTCCGACTAATGACCCCGCCCCACCTGATGTTAAGTGACGGGGAAGTCCAAATGCAAAGATAGCAGCAGCTGTTCTACCTGCCACACCAGAAATACGAACCCTTTTTTTTATTTAAACCCCGCATTGATTGAACACGACTACGGGTCCCCGGATTGGGAGTCACCGCGCGTCATGTCCAATTGTCCCATTACCTCGTCGCTTTGAAGCTATGGTGCATCCCCTACCGGGCAATCATAGAAGGCCCGTTGGGGGGCTAAGGGCGGACTCGAGCTCGCCGCCTCCTAGCTCCCTCTCTCCTGTGTCGGAGGGAGTCCGCGTGGGCTTGTTCCTCGCGGCCCCTCTCCGCAGCCTCTTTCTGCGAGATAACGTCCTCGCAGAAAGAGGCCACCGCCTTCCAGGATCTGTTGGCACGTACCACGCTGGACAGGGAGAGATCCTGTCTCACAGCCGTTACCAAAGTGCGGCGAAATTGCGACCATGCCGGACACTCCTCAAAGGTGTGCTGTACTGTATCTACAGCAGGGCCGCACTCGTGGCACAGCGGGGCTACCTCCCTCTGTATTCGATGCAGGTACTTCCCAAAGCACCCGTGCCCAGACAGCACCTGCATCAGCCTATAGGTCAGTACCCGGATAGATTGCTACGGTCCGGAGACCTCATGTAGGGTTACCCAGACGGAGTTTCCAAGCTTCCATCTGAGCCTCTTCTGTTTCCCTCCTTATTCGCACTGCTTCCTCGAGGGTGGCCCTCTCTCCTCGTTGGCGGGCCGCTGCTTTCCCCTGGTACACATCCGAGAGAATGGATGTTTCTAGGTCCCAGGGGGGCAAGCTGGCTAAAGCGCAAGCTGCCACCCAAGAAACGTGCGATAGCCCCTTATATTTCTGAGGGCCACCATCTTTAGCCATACTCATTCTGCCTGCATGTTGCTTCTTCACGCCTCCTCTAAAGGATCACAGGTTGTAAGAGGGAGGGAACACATTATTGGGAAGAGCATTCCATTTACGGATAGTGCGACTAAGAAATGAGTCACCAAATTTCATTGTGCGCGTTGGAATAGTAGCTACAGTTAATCGGTGACAACTTCGGCCAGCGCGCGTGGTGCTCTGAAGGAAAGGGGAAGGTGGAATAAGGAAGAATAACTCCTCAGAACACTCGCCATGGTACAGACGATAGAACGCGCTTAATGACGCCAAATCACGGCGCAATTGAAGAGGCTCGAGGACTTTAGTCAGCTGCTCATCGCCATGATGCGGATCGCTCGCCGCTGTAACCTATCCAAAGCAACGAACAAGTACTTGGCGGAGCCATCCCAGAGGTGCGAGCAATATCCTCGAGCGATCCTCTTTTTTGGGCACCAGTTGCATGTTGGCATCTCTCCAAGTCTCCGGCACACGCCCCAAAGAATACGAGAGTAGGTACAAGCGCGTGAGCACGGAAGACAACTCTGCTGCACATTTTTTAGGCACAACTGCTGGGATGTCATCAGGTCCTTTAGCTTTCCGGACATCGAGTGGTTGCATTCGGCGCGAACCTCACGCTGCCTGATTTTAATATCAAGCCACAATGAGGTAATGATGGTGGTAGTGCATTACAATCATCGATTCGGGAGTTAGCGCGCAAAGAGTTTTGCCAGTAAATCGGCTTTTTCCTGCGGCTTATGAGCTAGTGTTCAGTCTGGACATCTCAGATGCAGCGAGGGCTGACAGAAGTTGTTCTGCACAGCCTTGGCCATACGCCAATAGTTACACGAGCCCTTAAGACGGTTTTAAGTTCGGGACCAACACGTGCAACGCGCTAGGTATCCGCTCTGATGTAAGCCTTCTTACAGGCCTTGGAAGCAAAATTGTAGACTGCTTTTAGTGATACGACTTCGGGATCCTTAAATCTGTGATCCAAGCGCGATATGCCGCTTGCTTACATGAAACAGCTTCAGCACAGTCGCAATTGAACCAGAGGTTATGTGTGCCCTTACTGGTGAGATTAGAATGTGGAATATAGTATTCCATACCCATTACAATCTCCTCAGGAATAACAACGACGCTGGCTGATAGGTCCCTGTCACTGAAGCAGCGCTGCTTCCAAGGCACGGACTGACCAGAGGATCAGAGAAGAGAAGGAGGGATCATCCAAGTAATTCATAGTTAAGGTAGGTAGTGTGTCAGCAGGCGGAAGTATTTGTCTCCGTCAGGAACAACAATGCTGGCCGTACTGTCTCAAAATGCTGGTGGGCAGCGTTGTGGTTAGAGAAGAGTTCGCGTATGTTGCAGAACTTGACCTCAAACAGCGTTGAAGGCGTATGCACAGCTGTACGTCCAAAATTTATTCTAGGGGATGCCATGATGGAGGTGAGAAAGATACGTGAAATGAGTGGACACTGTCGCGACCGGACCGGGCAAATAAGGAAGGTTTGTTTCTCCGAATGACTGCCTGCAAAGGAGATGCGCACACCAGCCGGGCGGAAGGGCCCCCGCACCCCTCTCCGGGTGTGGCCGCCGGGACCCCACGCCCCGGTCACCAACCGGCACGACGGTACACCCCCAGATTATGCGTGACATGATGGGGCAGCCTCGCGAACTGGTTAGGAGCGCTCTGGCCCCTGTACTGTGCCACGGGCGGCTGTTATACGCTGGCTAGCCCCGAAACGCGCGAGAAGCACTTCACGGGTTTTTGACCATACGCAGGGTGGGTAACATATCAGGCGTGTGTTAGGCACTCCATGTCGCTTCTTAAGACACCCACGGCAAGCGAAGGGGGCGGTGAGTAGTATTCTTGCTTCGTCGCCGCACGGATAAAATTTTATTCTCGTTACGTTCGTTGTGGCGTTGTTTAAATTTCAATGCAAAACTTCGTAACGTATCCAGGTCGAATTCAACTATTCGAATTAGATATTGGTACGTGCTAAGGGTACTTTAAATAAGTAGCGGAAAAATTCGTTGGCAAAGTAGATTTAACCATATTTGTAATAGAGTTGCTATTGTATCATACCTTCTTATCGTCGTTTGTGAGGTGATGTTTGTAGTGGTTGTATTTGTGATGGCGGCAGTAGTTGTGGGGGCTGTCCACGTATTGGCTTCCCTTTCTCTTCGCTCGGTTGAATTTATTCTGAACAAACCAAAAACAAATTTAGCCCCGCCTGACATAATATTTATTCGCATGTATAATAAATACAATAATTGCTTAAAATAAATCAAGACTCAAAAGAATAGACAACAAAATACCAAATATGAAATAAACCCTTTATATTTACTACAAATTAAAATACATAAAAATAACCCTCACAATAGAACATAATAATACAACATAAATGTTAATACACTTACATAAAATACATATATTTACAACGAAAGCGTACATAGCAGACAAACAAAAGATTGATATTTAATGTAACGTTAAAATGAGTTTTTAGTTTTTGATTGTGCTCGCGAACCACGTTTGGATGCGCTACCTTTGTACTTAACCGACTTCATATTTATTTTCAATTTAACTTTGTTGGCATTAAAATTTCTGTACTAAGCTACTTATCATCAAAAGAATACTATGTAATTGTCTTTTTATTTATTTAACGTTTAAATAATAAGTAACAACATTAACAATCCACTATGGTTTATATTATAACAATAATTGTTATTATATATTAATCTTGATATAAAATGTAGTTGATAAGCAAACATACTACAGAAACCAGTTATAAGAACCGATGTAACTTCATCCTTTAGCCTTTTCCCACCCAGATTAATAAAAAAACAATAAGTTTTAAGTTTTTATTATTATAAAATAACTAATGTTTATGTGTATTTCTTAGTGGGTCGTAGGTAAGCCATTTTACTTTTTTAGTTGTAAAAAAGGATTCGTATAATCTGTGCCCTAAAATTTCTATTCCTGAGTGAGTAACGCGTGAGCAAATTATTAATATCGGATTTGCAGCTCAAAGTCCCTATAACATTAAGGTTCCAAATCGCACGTACGAGTGTGTGAGCACACCGAACGTTGGTTTTTGAACACGTCATTGAGCACACAGACATAGATCGAAATAGATACCGCAAATGTATGTATTTCCCAAAATCTGCCCAAAAGGAGACCAAGCGCCATATTTTTCCACAATTTTTTTTCTTTTTATCACTTTTCTCGATATGGATGGCAGTAGCATATTTTTATATGTCTAATCATGCCATCATAAGCTTTAGAAACGATAGAATTGAAACGGGTTGTCGGTGCCCATTCTTTTCCACCATTTCATTTTCCATCGAAACATAACACGCTCCATTTTCATCATGCGTCGTCTATTAAAATCTAGGTCTGTGGTTGAGCACCTGTTGTGGGCTTCGTCGTTAGTGTTAGTTTCCTTCCTGTCCGTCGGCAGCGGCGGGATCGAGGGGCACGACGACGCCTTTATGCGCGCCGTCACGTCGCGGTACCGCTGGTAGAAGCTGTACAGACACAGGCATGCGCGCGACTGAACCAGCGAGTTCCGATAGGGTATTTGACTAAGCTTAACGTTGCAGTTATAGCTACTTTAGTATGGAACGTTTGTGATTTTCTTTAAACTTCACCGGGTTATTCATCATAAACATCACTCGAATCATTTTTTTAACTATCTCTCAACGTTTAGAAAGATATATGATTAGTTCAAAGTTTCACACTTTATCAAAGTGGCTAGCTTTTATATAAAAGCGAGACACTGTCTTAAACTAACGCTGTTTATTTTCAGTCTAATGGTAGTTGTATAGAGACAGTTTTTAAAATGTAAACACGGTGTTATGTGTACATTTCTGTTCAATCTAAGTAGGTGCAATAAATAGTCATATATTTCGTCATGTGACAACATATTATGGCCAATATGGCCATTCTAGTGACAGTGTCAAGACAATGCTGGGCTAGGTGTTCACGTCCTATAAAAACCATCGTGTAAGTGAATACAATCTTGTTAGTAAATTTCTCACCGTCATTATCAAATACCCCATATGTTTAAAACAACACGATATGAGTGTAAGTTTAATGAAATTATATTTGATAAATTGATATTACTGATACGAGTCCTGCTTGCGCATTGTTATCATAACATTAAATTTGTATGAGTACTTCTGTATTAAACAAATCGATGAATTTATATAAGCCCTGTTAAACTCGCTAGCTCAGCTGTTAATTTAGGAAGAACAATATACAACAAAAACAATGAGAACCATATATACAATGTGTTAAGCTTGAGGTGTACTTTATTATACCAATAAACCATTTAATTTTGCAGCTCTGAAGTTAGTTTGAATAGTAGCTATATATAAATAACATTTTGTCAACAATAAGCAGGGGCTTTTTACTAGTGAAACAGATGGTGTGGAATTCAATTCCAATTGTACGCAGGGAGACAATTCTTGTGCCGCTAATTTCAGAGGAACATAATTAAACGGCAACTAATATAAACACCACATAACATTAAATAAACCTACACGACCAGAACCTAAGTCATCGGACGATACAAGACTATACATTCTAATAAACGATACACAATACTAATTTTGACTAACTGGTCCAAAGCACTTAGCTCCTTCAAAACTCCCAAATCTCTTGATTTATCGAATCGGCTTATTAGCAAGCTCACAACGCGTCCCTTGTCCCTTCTGAAATCAACATTTACCTATGAAGACTCAAAATATACCTATGACTTCAGTGGGTGATTACTCATACATTACACTACTAAGAAATTTATATTTTCTATATAACAACAGGACTTAATTGACTTATAAATATAATTAAAAGATCATTAAAAATATCTTAAATCTTATTTAAGTTATGGGATAAATAGCCCCAGTTAAATGACATTGTCTAACCTGACAAACCAAGTTTGATCCATCAAAATATATCTTGAGATTGCTATGAATGTTATAGCCTATTTACTTTTGGTTCAAAAGCTCCATGAGATTATATTTAATTATTTTGTATGGCAATGTTAGCACTTATAGAGATTATGTTATCGTAAAAAACAAAATCTTTTAGCATTAAAATCGCATAATGTTAGAAAGTCAGGTAAAGTTAGAAAGTAATGCTGCTGTATATTTATCGAATGACTTTTAGTACACATACATAGAGTTACCTGCCAAACATGAATATACAGCGGGAATATCCACTAAACTTATGTAGGCATGAACATGTAGGAATTGTGAATAAAATATAGCGATCCGTAGGAGTTTCGCGTCTACTCACGTCTTGTCGTTTTCGAAACTGTGCGTTCTTCTCAATATTGTGTCGTTGTCAACTGCGTTGTTCACTGGTTTAGCATTTTCTCCTGAGTATAGAAGAATTAATTGATTAAATAATGAGACACCATGCACATTACTCTGAGTAAACAACCGTAGGAAAAGGTTGGTATTTTATTTTAGGCGATAAGTAATAGCATTAAACAAATATATCTACATCTCTTACATAATAAGACAGGTAGGTATCGCTTGTTTTACGTATATCGTTAGAATCCAATGAGGTGACTTGCATAATGTGTGTGCTAGTACAAATGATTAGACATTCCAAGAATCATATTTTCTTTTGTAATGTCAGCATCTTGAATGAATTTTCATCAAGGCGATGATTCACGATGCTGCCAAAGCGTAACATAGATAGATACAAACCTAATTTCAAAGTCTAGTACTTTATGCTATGGTATGGATAGGATATAAAAAGAGTTCATCTACCTAAAAACCTTTTGTTTAATTAGATTTCATACAAAGTTAGTATCTATTTAAAACGGTATTAGTTTAAAAATCGCTCGAGCGTTAGGCGGTAGTGATGGTAACTCACTGTTCGGCTCCTGTTGTCTTCTGAACGAGGCGGATCTCCTCCAGGAAGCAGTCTCCTCCGGTTCAGGCTGGGCTTCGGGCGACGGCGCTCTGGCTTTGGGCGGCTTGCCGTCCGGCTTCGGTATCGGTATGATCTCCGCTGGTGGTTTGTCTGCGGTGGTGCGATGACTTAATGGCGAGCAAGGGTTCAATGAATAACGCATTAGGGTTTATGAACATTTATGTCCCAGTTACTGATGCATATATTAGAAATGACTCGATACAAATATGATATTAACAACTGTAATAGACTTTGGTAAATAGAACGTGTGATTTTATTTACAAAAATGGTGTGAGCAAAGAGGCTTTGCCCGCCTATTTGTTAAAAATGGAGACCAGATGAGAATATGGCTGATGCAATGGATATATTTACCTACATGTTAATATTGTCCCTAACTATGCCGATATGTCTCATCATTCCGGCCTGAAAGTTGCTTCTACACTCAACTCACCATTGATTTGATTGTCGTTTTGCCCCGTGATGTGGAGTTCAACGACCCGCTTGCTGTCGAACTTGGGAGGGCTTCGTTTGCGCTTGTTGTTGAGATTATTGTTGTTGTTGACGCGGCGAGGCAGTTTCGATACGGCCTCGGTGAGCCACGCCGATATGCTGGGATCCACTAGGTCGACGCATGTTTGGCCCTAGGTTGGAGTACCGAAATAATTATCATTGTCATACCAAGAGAGGCCGTTCATCGGATGGGTAACCAAAACGAGGAGGCATGTTAAGCCGTTGGGCCCAGCTGCATCTGCAGTCGTTAGCACCCACCAATTCCCGATTAACGTCCGAACATTGGAACACAAAGGCCGTATTCATCATCATCGGCCTATAAAATAATGCCCTCACTATATGGGACACAGGCCATCCCTATGGATAAAATAAGAGGGATTGTGCTATGGCCCACAAAAGAAGCCCAGTGCGTATTAGTGGGTGCTTACAACTGCAGATATATAAGCAGCAGGGACCAACGACTTAACGTGCCTTCCGGAGAAAATATATTTTTGGTCACCCACCCGACAAAAGGCCACTGCGAAGGTTGCTTAACTTCTACGATCGCAGATCGAAAGCGCTAACCACTTGCACCATCGAGCTTAGTTCTTATATAATGTTTCTCTCTAATAACAGAATTGGCCTGGCATAATTTGCCCTTCCTGGTATATGTTATGGGGAATTTGTGGTAGTAATGTTACACATCACCTATTGAAGATGATAACAGCTGCAAATGCAAACGGAAAAGTAATTGTCTAACTTTGAATTTTAAACCATAAATAAATATTGATCTAACAACAAACAAAACTCTTTCTCAAATATGAAATTATAGGAATCGCGGAAAGAAAGTGTTTATCACGCCCCAGGTCCAGTGGCTCAATGTCAAGTCCTTTCATCTCATATTTGAGAAAAATCACATCACATTTTCTTTGAATTTAAATAGAACCACTATTCCTATTTTTTTATAATATATTAGTTTCTTTTCCAGTCTTCATGCTCGTAATCTTCCGCAGAAAACCTTTAGCAGGTTATTCACCCCCACCGTTTCTATAGCAGAGCGACTTGCAGAAATGCGACTGCATGCCTCTTCGCTTTAGGACCGGTTAGAGGTAAGACGTTGGTCACCATTCTTGTATTCTTGATGACTGATAATCTTCGCTATTCCACACGTTATGTAAGAATAAATTAAATAAACAAACTTAAATACACCATTACAAATGCTCCATGACTGACACACACAAACATTTGACCTCTCCGGGTTTCAAAACTAGAACGTATTAGGTAAAGCGGGCCGTATATTTTTGAACGTTCTATAACTGCCCGGCCACGACTTTTGGCTTAGCAAAGCCAGTCTGCGCGCATTTGGTAGCTTCTAGTATTTTATTACATTTGTTTCTTCGATCAACAATAAATAGATAACGCCTTACGAACTAAAACAAGCCCCAAACATGGTATTTATATCGCAACACCTAAATATACTATTCAAAAAGTATAAAATATCCTTAGTTTAAATAATTTCAACTGAACCTACACCTAATGTGCAAGCAATAAAGAGTTCACTTTTCTTACGGATTTCTAGGGTGATGAATGGACGAGAATTTGAAATAATAATCATCATTCGAATTGGTTCAAAAGATTTAACAACAACTCTTATATTCAAATTCCGTCCTAATCAATAACTCTTGCCATTTTTTAATAAATAAAATCACTATTCTAAAGCAACCATATTTTAGCCAAACATTGGCAAACGATGCAGCGAAGGTAGGCTTCAAAAAGTTCTGTTGTTTTTTTATAACAGTTGGGTATTTTTTATTTACAGCATATACAACATAATCTACAGGCCGAAAGTAAAAGATTTTTCGAAAGTAATTTTTATTTATCAGGTTTAGAAACAGAAACTGATCCACTGCGACACGTTAGCACGGCGTAATCGAAATAACTATATTTAAATTAGACCCAAATTTGAAGTGAGGCCGGAGGCGTTATTTTTTGTCCATTTTTTGAGACTCTGATTAGGCCGACTGGTCGCTTCATACAAATATCACAATGTATGGAATTAGGAACTTGCATTGAATATAAAGATAATTATACGTCACGTCATGTTGGCCAGCATATGACACATGAAAGAAGCCATTACTATTACGCCTTTCGCGTGTATAAGTTTAATTATTTTTTCCATTTTTACAGAATTTATATAAAAAAAAATTTGAGGGGACACAGACAACAATCATCTTATATATACATTATGGGAAATTTGTGGTATATAAAGAGTGAGAAGGTAAAGCAAACACAATTTTTGGCTGTAATCTAGCCAAAAATTAGTACTTATTACGAATTTCATTTAAAGTTTTTTTAATAAACATATTTAATATTCTATTTATTACATTCAATAATTTAAATAAAATATAATGGCATTGGTAAAGTGGCAAGAGGACAAAGAGTGTTAATTTTAACAGCTGTATTTAATACCAGTAGAAGAGGAGAAATAATTATTGAGAGAATCCAAATTATTATAAGGAGCATCGGTGTCTTCCTTTGATTTTACAATACCAAGTGATCTTAGAAATTTACAGACTTTTGGAGAATCTTTAAAACTGACAGAATTATGAATGTGACGGCGTAATGCATCCCTACACACCTCATCGCAGCTATTACGAATATTGATATAGGTATCTTTGTTATGGTCACTTGGCCGACTTTTATATCTTCTCTTAGCTGAAGCCTTTCTGTGCATCAACGATTTTATATCGTCCGTAAGCCAAGGTGCAGGAAGATGTTTTAATTTAATGGCTCAAAAAGGTGCATGCTTGTCATATAACTTTGTGACCAATGCACTGAAATGTGCTACCTGCTGATTCACAGTCTCTGCAGCAAAAAAGGGAAACCAATCAATACTATTACTTAATTCCTTATTATGTCCTGAAGAAATGCTTCACGATTCATACCACTAAAATTACGCTGAAGAATAGTCTAGGCTTAGGTTTAGGAGGACGAATTTTATAGGAAAAATAGATAATATCATGATAAGAAAAGGCATCAGCCGAACATTGACCATGCTTTGCAACATGCTGGGGTGAAGATACAATTATTAAATCGAGAAGAGTTGGGGTACACTTTGGAAAATGGTGGGTGGCACTAAGAGGAAGAGTTTGCATGTTGCTAGAACTAACTATAGATTGCAGAGAAAGCACGGTGATTAATTTTGAGGAGACAAGTATTAAAGCCAGCCATTATAATTGAATCGCTGTAAGATGGAGCAAAGGTATCCAACAGGCTTTCAAAGGAAATAAAATAATTAATATTTAATGATGGACTCTAAACTCCGAGAAGCATCTTGGTGTGCGAGAGAAGGATCTCTACCAAAAGATTTTCACCAGCATTGGAAGGAATCGGTTGAGCCGAAGTGCTAATAAGAGTTCAAGGAATATGTTCACTGAGGTAAACAGCTACTGCACTACACCCAGATCCAATGCGGTCATTTCATACATTTAGAAAATGAATGTGTCGCTACTTCGGCGCCATCATCTCGGTCTCGCTAACGTCCCGTACCCTTAGCTTTCGAAGCTTACTCTTAGCTTTAGCGAAATGTCTTTGTCATATTTTGTATGGAAACTTGAACAGCCGCGTCACAACAGACGTAGCAAACATTTGACGTATAAAATAAATCGAATTAACTATTTGAATTGGATACGATATATACGTGTGAAACTCACCGAATAGTTTTTCAAATTTGGATCGGCGCCGTACTTGAGGAGCAGCGTGGCCGCTTCCTTCTGCCCCCACAGCGCGGCCGCGTGTAAAGGCGTCCAGCCCTCGTAGTCCATGCAGTCGGGCTCCGCGCTGCATTCCTCCAGAAGAGTTTTGGCCACCTTTGCAAACAAATTATCGCCAAATCAGAACATGGTTGAGACCATTTTATCGTTTTTAGGGTTCCGTAGGCAAATGGAAAAAAACGCTTATATATTCGTCATGTCTGCCTGCCTGTCTGTCAGTCTGTCACAGCTACTTTTTTCCGAAATTATAAGAACTGTACTGTTGGAAACTTGGTTTGAACGAGATCTAGTCAGAAATGAATGAAAAAATTATGAGAGTGAAATTTTAAGATGCGCGCGCATCACTGTAACACAAAAGTAACATAATGAAGTTAGCCGCGGGCGCGTTATGAAAAAATGATGAGAGTGAAATTTTAAGATGCACGCGCAACACTATGAAGTCGGCCGCTAAACCGCACATTACTCGTAAGTCTCGAAAAAAAGCTTCCAACAAAATAGTAATAGGATCTCTTAGTCGCACATGTTGGGACGCTCGTCGCCTCTGATCACTGTTTTCATATTTATAATATTTATCCACATGTTTCTAGTTGCTATATTCTTAACACGTGTTATAATGTTATACAAATGCGAAATTTATATGTGCTAATAATTTTTATTCAGTAGTGATTTAAATTGAATATTTTGATTATTTATTAAATTTTTCAAATTAAAACTGAACTTTATTGACTGCGTTGACTATCCTTTTCCAATCCTTTTATTATCTTACTGTAATTAATTATCTGCATGCAATTAAAAACTATTTTTTAATAATTCCAAAAAGAAGTATAACTTCTCACGCGCGTACTTAAGTACACGCACCCATATTTTTTTTTAATACGTCATAAATTGTATACCGCAGTTTTACCTTTCATTCAATCAACTGAAATATAAAAATAAAAATCACCAAAAACTTAATTTTAAATAAATACACTATTAATAAAACATCGACCAAAGTTACAATGAACTACAAGAACTTTTATATTATCTTACTCGCTGCCACGGAACCCTTCATGGGCGAGTCCGACTCGCACTTGGCCGCTTTTTATAAATATAAATTAATCGACGACACATATGTACGCGAATGTCTTATAAAACATTTTATCGTTTTTAGGGTTCCGTAGGCAAATGGAAAAAAACGCTTATAGATTCGTCATGTCTGCCTGCCTGTCCGTCAGTCTGTCACAGCTACTTTTTCCGAAATTATAAGAACTGTACTGTTGGAAACTTGGTAAGGAGATGTATTTAACTTCCCCCGAAAATTGGTTTGAACGAGATCTAGTCAGTAGTTTTTTTTTAATACGTCATAATTTGTAAACCATAGTTTTACCTTTCATTCAATCAACTGAAATATAAAAATAAAAATCACAAATAACTTAATTTTAAATAAATACACTATTAATAAAACATCGACTAAAGTTACAATGAACTACAAGAACTTTTATATTATCTTACTCGCTGCTAAGGAACCCTTCATGGGCGAGTCCGACTCGCACTTGGCCGCTTTTTATAAATATAAATTAATCGACGACACATATGTACGCAAATGTCTTATAAAACAAACTTTATAGTGGTATAGACATTTTCAGTAATACTTAAAGCGTTGTCAAATCATAAAGTATATCCAATTTAAAATAACAACATTAATAGCTGCTTTGCAATAATCTCACGCGACTTGCTTTAAATCATGCATACATACTTATTATAGCCTGCACAACGACAGTTTTAATTAATATTGTACCTATTTTAATTCGCAGGATCCTGTTATTGGCCAGTCCCATTACTAACGATTATGTAATATAAATATGTATCGCTGTTGGTTCCTCAAAAAAATAAATAAATAGATAACTTCCGAACGACTGCGCCAAATCCGATTATTCTTATTTGTTTGTCTTCGTTATTGTCAAAGGCCCGAGCACGAACTTTGACAGCTCCGTATTTGTATCGCATCGTCAAAGTTCCAATGAAGACTAAGCAGCGCCCCTACCGGACGTGAGGGCAAACTGGCTCCTTTCCTAGAAAATTTGACACTGAGGATGCGATTAAGGATCTGTCGAAGTTCGTGCTTGAGTTTGTATAAAATAAAAAAGTTAAGAAATTTACTTTTAAATCTCAAATACGAAAAGCGAGTGAATGAATGAGACAGATGACTAAGAAAGATCAATCTATCGGTAATACATTGCAAAGGGCATAAATTGTTTGACAAGTCTTTCAGGAATATCGAAAAATTGCAACAAAAAAATAATACGGTACGTGGTTCACCGGGTAAGCTAGTCTTTTTATAATTTGTATTCCAGGTTGGAAGTGAAAGAATGGAATAAATTTTTTCTGTAAATTCATTAATTGATATGGAAGCATTTATTATACTATAAGGAAACACAAACACTATTTGTAGCCATTTACGTAATTACGTATTTTCCCCCATCTTATGGGGTTTAGCTACTGTCGAACTTATCTGGTGGAAAAACCGAGAGCAAATGAAACATTTTACTACGTAGTCAAACTAATGTATGGTCATCGACCGATAACGATTAATCCGGAAATCTGATTGGCAGGTTACTGGTAAAGCCAGCCAAGGATTAATTGTGTAACGTAAAAACCAGAGGCCCGATTGTGTTAGCTTTTACTTTCCTCTTTACTCTTTCCGAGAAGATCAATTGATTCAAAGAAAAACGTCCACAGAATGTACGTACTCGCCACGCTCAAGCAGTCTGCTCAGAACAAATCGCTTAGATTAAAACAAAAAGGGTAAAGGGTAGATACGGTGCGCTCATACTTGCATCAAACAAAAACTGATCCCACGGCAGCGCGAACGGGACGGCGAGATCCGCGTCACTGATTTACCGACCCGAACGAAACAGCACGTTAAGTTTCAACGGCAGCGTGAACGAGACGGCGAGATCCGCGTCACTGCACTATCGACCAATCACGCGACTAGTACTCGACGTCAATACCGAATAAGATTCAAAACAAACAGCATTTTTTATGAAAAAATATATTTTATAGTACTTACGAATGAAAAGTGATGCCGTGGGTTTTATTTTTAGTTCTTGAGCAATTTGAGCACTTTTTAAAAAACACTTAGGCATTGTTTTATCATTAAAACACAAAATATTAGCAATATTTCTTTTTGGCATTCACATGTACGTCGTTTGCATGTCAAGTTGTGATTAAAAAATATAGTGTAACATAGTCGTCGTCACAATAATTATAGTCCAAAATGAATTAAGAATTAGCAAATTTAACTTAAACTAGATTTATAGTGTGTCAAGGTTCTTTATAAATGTGGTGAAAATTGGAACTAATACCGCCAGCTTTGTAAACGTCATATTTTGTATTTCATTTATGGTCATTTACGTAGACAGCAGCGCCGTCCCTGAACTGTCACTCACATTCCTAGTGTCACTCTAGTCCATACAATAATTTTCTATGGGTCAAAAATGTAGTTGCTTCCAGTATGGGAAATCAATTGAACCAAGCAGACGATGTCGCGGATGCCCTCTAGTACTTTAAAGTAACTCACGTCGATGTATCCCTTCGCGGCGGCGACATGTAGCGGCGTGCCCCCAGTTTTGGGGTCGCGCACCTCCACGTACCCATTCGCTGCCCAGTTCTTGGCATCGCTCATCAACGTATCCACCTCGGCGTTGCGAGACTTCTCGCAGTCGACACCTAGCATAATATAAATATTCATTACAAAAAACTATTAGTTTAAAGTTTGAGGAACTGCGATCGCGAAAGTTAAGCAACTTTCGCAGTGATCGGTCATTGGATGTGTGACCAAAACCTTATATAGACCTTTCCCTGCTTCGCAGGGCACGTTAAGCCCTTGGTCCCAGCTGCATTTGCAGTCGTTAACACCCACCAATGCACAATGTGCCCGCGCGGTGGGTCACGACCCTGTCTTATTATTCCATACATTGGGAAGGCATGTGCCCCAGCAGTGGGGGCATTAATAGGCTGATGACGATGACGATCAGTTTAAAGTCTCTAAGAAGGGATTGCATCTGAACTGCTCTCTCTCGTCATTACAACCTTGCTCGAAAACATCAAATAAATTATATTCTTCATAAAGTCACAAGTTGTCTCTCATTTCTCATAACGTTTTTATTATTGGTTAATTTTATTTTTGTTATTAGGTAATATTTTGTACTTTATATAATTTATTATACTTATATATTTGGGTGTTTATGTCAGACATAGATGATTTTCACTCGCTGCATGATTACTATCATAAATCGTCGTTTCACTTGTCATAATCTTTCATTGAAACAGGTGCTCGCACGTGAAATTAACAGTTTTGCCAGTTGTTTCAGAGCATGTCACATTAATGCACAGAGCCTACCCTGTCATGTTGATGCTTTCTCTACGGATGCAGTGCACGCCGTGCTTGTATCTGAAACCTGGTTGAAGCCATGCTTGAACTCCTCCTTGTACTGTCCGCCAGGTTTTGACTTATTCCGTAATGATCGCGTCGGTAAGGGTGGTGGTGTGGCTATTTACTTGTCGAGCCGCATACCAGCGAAAGTTTTATATTCTTCTTCCTCTCGTCATGGCTGCATGGAGCATCTGCTCCTGGAAGTTGATATTTGGGGTACCAAGGTTATTCTCGGAGTTGTATACTGCCCTCCTTCCATTGACTACTTCTCAGACCTTGAGTCGTTGGTTGATTCCATTGCCACTGATTATAATCACCATGTTATGATGCGTGACTTCAATACTGACCTTTTAATAAATTTCCCCTCTTCTCGAAAGCTTCGCTCTTTGATTACGTCGGCAAACTTTTCTTTTTTACACCTCAATCCTTCACATCATAATCTTAATACATCCGATTCGTGGATTGATCACATTATTGTGTCCTCCTTAGATCATGTCGTTAAATATGGTCAAATCCCTGCCCCATGCTTCTCCAGATATGATCTTATCTATATTGCTTATAATGTGAAGCCTCCAAAATCGAAGCCAAAAACTATCTCCATTCGGAACTTTGCGAGAATGGACACGAAGGAACTTAAACGTGATGAGTGTTTACTTGATTGGTCTCCTGTTCATAAAAAGCTTTCGGTCAACGACATGGTCACCTACTTTAACTCCGAAGTCATAAAACTGTTCGACAAGCACGCTCCTTTAAAAAAGGTCAAATTAAGACGTCCTCCGGCGCCCTGGATTACACCTGGTGTGCGTATGGCCATGCGAAAGCGCGACAGAGCATTTCGCATTTACAAAAGATGCCGTACTGATACGCACTGGGATGCTTTTAAGATTGCCAGAAATCGATGCAATCAGATGGTAAGAAAAGCTAAACGCCATTATATTCATAAGAATATCCTTGAATCTTCTCCTGCGGATACCTGGAAGTTTCTACGTACTCTTGGTATTGGTAAATCACATCTTCGTCATAAGCCTTCTTTTCCGTTAGATGAACTAAATAAGCACTTCACTTCTATTAAACCTCTTCTTCCCAATGTCAAACTTTCCACTATCTCTGTTCTTTATTCCAAGGTTCCCTCAACAGCTTCACAATTCTGTTTTAATTTCTTAACTGAGGATGAAATCCGAAAGATAATTCTATCCATAAAATCTAACGCTGCAGGCTGCAATAATATAAGTCGTACTATGATCATCTTAGTTCTAGATTCTGTACTTCCTGTTCTGACTTATAGTTTTAATTTCACACTTACATCTGGTTCCTTTCCTGGCATAAGGCCTTAACTCTCAAACTACCTAAAAATAATAGTCCCGCCTCCCTTAGTCAATATAGGCCTATCTGTATTCTTCCTTTTTTATCTAAAATCATTGAAGCTGCAGTCCACAAACAACTCACTTCATATATTAATTCTAATAAACTTCTTTGCCCTTTTCAATCTGGTTTCCGTCCCGGCCATAGTACTACTACTGCTCTCACCAAAATCCTTGAAGATGTCCGGGATGGCCAGGAAAATTCTCGTTTGACACTGTTAGTTTTAATTGATTTTTCAAACGCTTTTAATGCTGTTGATCATGATATTCTCATAGCTGTCCTTTCTCGACTAGGATTCTCATCTTCAGTGCAGAAGTGGTTCACTTCTTATCTTCGTGATCGCTGGCAGGCTGTCCGCTTCGATCAGGAGTTATCTAGTTGGCGCGAGCTGACTGCCGGTGTTCCACAAGGCGGTATTCTTTCTCCTTCGCTATTTTCCCTTTTCATTAATACTCTTACAGAACTTCTTACTTCCTCTTACCATCTGTATGCTGATGATTTACAACTGTATGTAAGCACTGATAGCCTTCATTTGAATGAGGCTGTCGCAAGTTTAAATCATAATCTCAGGGTGATCAGAAACTGGTCGGCTAATTTTGGTATATCAGTCAATCCAAACAAGTGTCAAGCGATCATTGTTGGCAGTTCACGTCTACTGTCGCAACTTGAACTTGCTCAGATGAATTCGATATTCTATGACGATGTTCCTTTTCCTTACTCGGCTCAAGTAAAGGACCTGGGTTTAATTGTAGATGAAAAACTTTCCTGGATAGACCATGTCGATTTCCTCTCGCATAAGATGACCAATTCTCTGAGATCTCTTTACAGGTTTAAGTTCTTTCTGCCCACTCGTACCAAGATTGCCCTTGTTCAATCTCTCATTCTGCCTATCATCTATTAAGCCGACGTATGTTATCCCGATATAAATGAAAATCTTCTAAATAAGTTGGATCGCCTTCTTAATAACTGTATCCGCTTCATATTTGGCTTACGTAAATACGACCATATTTCACATTTTCGTCTTCAGCTCAATTGGCTTCCTATTCGCGAGCGTATGAACATCAGAGTTGTTTGTGCCCTTTTCAATCTTCTCTTCGATCCACATACACCTAAAAAGCAGATTTAGGTTTCTGAGTGATTCTCATGACCGTGTCCTCCGTTCAACGGACAATCTCCTTCTGCATACTCTCGTCCATTCTTCTGGCTTCGTCTCCTACTCTTTCACTGTCACGGCGGTACGACTCTGGAATGACTTGCCCCCCAATATACGTAAAGCTCCTAACAAACTTGCATTTAGGGGATTGGTTCGTGAGCACTATCTCAATAGCATTAAACAGCGTCCTCATATATGACTGACATAATCGTATACTTATGTACGTATTGTATGTATGTATATGTGTGTATCTATGTGTATATATATATATATATAAGTATATGTATGTGTATGTATGTGTGTATTATGTGTGTGTATTCTGTTAAGAGTATTTGTATCCTTGGTTTATCTTACATTTGTCTTTAATGCGCCCCCCTCATATTAGATTTTTCTCACGCTCTTACTGGTCGATTGGTAGAGAATGCCTTATGGCATTATGTCCGCCATTTGCTGTGTTATGTTGCAATAAAGTTTAAATAAAATAAAAAAATACGTTGCCTTCACAAAGAAAGCATCAACTTATAAGTTAATTTACTTTTCTGAGGGCGGTCGACACACTTGCAGAGCAACGTGGATGCGTCCAAAAAATGCAAAAGCTACCAAAATTTTTTTAATAAATGATTGTGTTAACATCTGTCTTGTGATACCGTAACATTTTCATTGTTTACGAAACGCTAAGGACATTTAAAAAACATTTAAATCATTTTATCAAGGTAAGTTTCTAAATTATAAATATTCCACCAGTACCTTTTTCGTCGATGGCTTTCTGCAACATCTCTTCCATGGCATCGCTCTCCGCGATGTCGACAGGGAGCTCTCCATCGCAGTTCACTGCTGCTACATCAGCGCCATTCTCCAGTAGATACCTGCAAAGATCATAGCTAAAATTAGTAAGTAGCAATGACAGCTAATTATGTGGGTTAGAAAGTGATTCAAACTTATTAGCGGCAGTAAAGTTAGCGTAGGTCGCGACGCCGCAAACTAAATATAAATAAATTTAGGTGCGCGCAGTGTATCACTAAACTTAAAACTGCGCATAGTTGCGCTCGCTGCTATGCTTCTGAAGATGGATAAATTTTGAAAGTTTCACACATGATATACCCTTAACTACATCTTGAAGCGAGTTAAGTTGCCCTAATGTCGCCAAAGTTTATGGGCGTTTGGTGGCCGATAAATATAGTCGAGCAATATGCTTGTTCGCCCCTTTTACATAAAAAAATACAGGACGCAGAAGCAAAATTCTCATTGTAAATTATACCTTTTAGTTAATAGAGGTTTGAATTACCTTAATAATTCTTTCGTGAAATTCATGAAAAGGCATACATGCATATTCGCGGAAGGCAATTTTTATAAAGACAGAACATCGCCAACAGTTTCGATATTTCGTAGAAATTGTGGATTCTGTTTACCGGTATCGATGAAAGGGAACATTCACTCAATAATTGACAAATTAAAAAAAATGCCTTTTGCCGATGAGCTGATAAATTTAAAGAACATGAAGCAAAACGTACCCACCATGTAGCACATTGAAATTGGTACCATTAGAAAGGTCTTCAAAAGTGCATTAATTTATTGTACGGGAGCAACTTAGTGGCTCAAGGGAGATAAAAGATATTTCTCGTTGGAAATGCCAAAAATTATTAATAAAATCTCCCTACGCATATTCAGTTTTTAAGATTTTATCCTTTAAGTACTTAGAACTATATTGTGCGCTTGGGTCGATATGTCGTAAATAGTAATTATCTTTCAGTATGCAACCGTTGCCGTCGGTCGGCCACAATTAGTGAGTGAGTAGAACAGCAGAGCTGCAGAACCGACTTACATTCAACTGCGAGTGAAACGGATAGTGTGTAGTCGGTGACGTATCACCCACCAATCCGCGCTGGGTCCGTTATCACCCACCAATCCGCAATGGGTCCGTTATCACATCAGCACTGGGTCCATAATCACCCACCAAACCGCGCTGGGTCCATTATCACCCATCAATCCGCGCTGGGTTCGTTATCACCCACCAATCCGCGCTGGGATCGTTATCATCCACCAATCCGCACCGGGTGCGTTATCACCCACCAATCCGCCTGGGTCCGTTATTACCCACCAATCCGCGCTAGGTCCGTATCATCCACCAATCCGCACTGGGTCCGTTACCACCCACTAATCCGCGCTGCGTCCGTTATCACCCACCAAGCACTAGATTCATGTATTTTGTGACGGGTATTGTTCATTGTTTACCGATGAGTCACCTAATATGATGATGAAACTAATGGTAACGCAAAAATCGTAACACATTAGCCAGTTTACCCTCCAAGTCAAGCGTGCCTAAAGAAATTTCACTTCAAAAAGTTAAATTGTGACACTTGGCTATTAAAAATATAATAAAGAATTAGTCATATCTTCCGTCCGCCATTCATTCATTCATTCGTTCATTAATTTAGGAGCTAGTTAATTATGCGTCTTTTAAATTACACCTAATCTATAATGCTACAAGGTGGGTACGGGTTCCATACAAAATTACCCATTATTCTTTAAATTATTGTACAGACGCTTGCTTTGGAATTTTATAGTAAAACCAGAGAGTTTTATTGTAAATAGAATCTATCTGTAATTAGAATCTAAGTTCATATCGTTAAGACAGGCGCGTTAAAACCCGCTTAAGAATAAATTTCGTTAGACCCAAGAAAGTTTACTATTTATCAATAGGCACTTAGGCAGTCAGCAGCAAAGCATAACACAAATTCTATAATCATTAAAATATCTACACATCAATTAGTACACAAACATCTTTTGATTTATTATAAGTTGACACAAATCGAATAAAATTTATTGCGTATGATAAATTTATTGAACATTTCAATAGAGACAATAAGACAACATTATTATCTTACCGCGAACAATAAGCATGAATAGGACATGACAGGACCCGTATACTAGGTCATATCAGGGTTACCTATCTACAACTTTTATACCATCAATCCTTTTAAATATTTCCAAGTTTATTTGGGGTTAACGCTGTATTCCTCTTCCATCATTCTACTTCGAATAAAGCTTCATATTTCATCAATCGCTTAAAATATTATCAAGTTTATTTGGAGTTAACGCTGTATTCCTCCTCCATCATTCTACTTCGAATAAAGCATCATATTTCATCAATCGCTTAAAATATTCCCAAGTTCATTTGGGGTTAACGCTGTATTTCTCCTCCATTATTCAACTTCAATTAAAGCTTCATCTCAACTTTAATTAAGCATCAATTAATATATTATAATTATCAAGGTCCAAAAATTATATCTTTTCATGAGAAAAGTATTGTACGACCCTACGTTAAACTGACTCAATCGTTGTTTACAAAAACAGTGAATCGAGTTTATTATTTAATGTGGATTTGTATGTAACCTATGTGATTCATTTCAGTAGGAAATTAATTATTAGTTATGATTTTAGGAGAGGCGATATATTAATCAATGAAACAGTAAAGACAAAGGCAAAAGTAATTTTCAGCTAGAATTAAGGCCTTTAAAATTATAGACAAATTAAATTTTTAGACAGGCAGAAAGATGTCAGGTTAATTTTCTTATTCGACTTTCTATTGAAAAACAAAACAGTGTTTATTTTTTCTAACAACGCCTGTACAAGATTTCTGTAGTGATTCTAAATAATCCGAAAAAAAAACAGGCATACTCTCTATACACGTTATCCAACAATCCCACGACTTTCAATCTTATCAATCTTATGCCGCACAGTGTTTTAAGAACCTCGATTTTGTGACATGCCCTTTTTATCCCAAATTTCTATAGATTAAGCTATTATAAGCACTGAAAAAATACTGGAAAATTTCTACGATACGTAGTTTTTGAGGAAAAAATTTTCAAAGATAACCCATTTTTCGATCCGGAATTTTCAAAAAAACAATGTTACTCTTCTATTCAACATGTTTTTTTGTTTTGATTAAATGTATGTTATGAGGCTTTGTACAATAGATTTTTCCACAAAATTTGAGCCTCTAAAGCAAATCGTATAGACGATATGTTTTATTTTTCAAGTTTTCATTTATATTTTTTTTTCTTTAGTAGAACGGCGTATTCGGATGAATTTTATTCACTAAAATATCCAGCTTTGTTGTCCCTATATACAGTATTTTTTTTGCAACCGAATACCGCGTTATGTAGAAGTTATGAGATAAAATCTTTTTTTTTTTCAGGGTTGACAAACATTTTATTCCTGCCATTTAATTATGAAATTGAAATATAAATTACTTCTCATAAATAAATATTTACAATGAATCATTTATTTCTGTATTTATAACGCAAGAATCGACGTAGTCCTCAAAATCAATATCCCTTACTGCGTCACTTGGATCTGTCACTTTTAATAAAGAAACTACTGCAGATGGTAATGGTGTCAAGTTTTGATTATTTTTTCTCTCTTGCATTCGAATGTTTATTATATCAGGGTCTGATGTTTCCAGCGTTCTATTAAACAAATTCACGGCTCATTTTTCGGGTATGGTGCTCCCTATCGTTCCGTCAATATTTATTTCGGGTCTCGGCAGCCTGCTCCGAAAGCATCCCTATAGGTATAGTGGCTGATTTGATAATATCGGCACCATGAATTAAAACTTTGTGCAACGATACGGTCATCGGACACCAATTATAGGTAGAGACATACTTATAAGCCAGATTTTTACAAAAACCCCTAAACCGGTCGGAATCAATTGCATGATTGCTAGACAAAACAATACATAATGTGTGGAGATCATCCAACAGCCATTGTTCGATCCCCAGAAAATTTTTGGCGGAACTTATCTGACAAAGCCATTCGTGCTGTATTGCCATCATTTGTTGTACCCGAATTGGGGCGCACTACGTCGAACAGTAAACCCATCCGCTTTCTCACTTCATTTTCAATATTTTTTTTGCGCTCTTCAACTTTGACATAGTCTACAGAATTGTGTGGGATACGCCATTTTTTACATCCATATCACTCGAAATTCTAGCACTCGTATCCAAAAATAAAGCGGACTTAAGCCGTTAATCAATAGCTCTCGATTTAATGGCTTAGAAAAAGCCATGTCCAAGTTATTGAAGGTGGTCTATGTTAAGCCACAATACGGGCAACGCATTTGGAATGACGTATTTAATAAAATGTTAAGGACTTGAATTCTTGTTAATCTTGTTAATTCTTGAATTGCCGTCAATAGCTGCACAATATTGTTCACAACTTACGGGTATATTATGACCTTGTGAGGTTTTGCCTTGCAGTTGCAAATTAGATATTTGATTTGCAATTAATTCTTTTCCTGCTAGAATTAATTCTTTGTTCTCCTTCCTATATTGAATATGAATAGGTCTACAGTATCTATGTGATTGTGGAGCTGGATTAGACCAAACAACATCCCTTTCATTTAACACGAGCTGCAGCGGAACAAATGTAATAGCAAAAAGATTATTTTCATCGTCACTCCACAATATTGTATAATTGTTCATGCAATACACTGCTGATTTTGAGTCGGTAAATCCTTATAATAATACATAAATATTTTGTAATAAAAACTATCTTAAGTCTTTTTAGTTACATACCTATAAGTTATATTCTCTTTGTTCTCCAATAACAATAAATAGGTCATATAATATATGTTAAAAGAATGCTTATTAACATATATTATAGGAACTCATTTTATTTTTAAATACTCAGTTCCGGAAGTGACGACCCTAATACCGGAATTATGTTTAATTAATATTTTTGTTTATAACTCGTACATAACGAAGTTTTCGGTTACATTAAAAATACTCTACATAGGGACAACAAACTTCAATATTTCCATGTATAAATATTATCCGAATACGCCGTTATTCTTAAGAAGAAAAATGAAAACGAAAATTAAAAAAAAAGGTCATATTATTATGGTCTATACGGTTTGCTTTAGAAGGCTCAAATTTTGTGAAAAGATGTATAATACAAAGCTATATATAAACCTTTAACCAAAGCTAAAACAATATGAATAATAGAGGAGCTAGTTGATTTTTTTTAAATTCCTAGTTCTAAAATAGGTCAACTTTTTTTTTCTCGAAAACTACGAGGCGTAGTAATTTTTCCAGTGTTTATAATAGCTTAATTTATAGGAATTCGGGATAAAAAGGGCATGTCACAAAATCGAGGTTCTTAAAACACTGTGTGCCGCCATCCCACATAATGTTAAGTGAAGGTCAAGTCGAGATGCGAAAATAACTGGTGTAGCTTTTTTACGGGCCACACCAGCAATCCTAACCAAACCATCCCTCTTTCAAAATTCTCGGATAGTTTTAGTAAAAATAAACAATTTTATTTTACCATTTCTTTATGTAAATTATTATTCTATGTATAGTTGCTCGATCGCTTCGTCTCTTTCACACTTTTCTGTCCTTTGGTCGCACGATATCGCTTTCTCTCTATCTAGAGAGTAATTAATTTCATGTGGATATTGCCTGAATGTTATTGGAAAAAACCGGAGAATTAAATTAACAAATGAAATGTACAAAAGTAGGTTTGATTGTTACTAAAATTTCCATTTACATATTAGAGGGTCTGCAATAAACTAACCTTATTACCACAAAAAAGTTAGACATGCGTTCAACACGAGTTTAAGAAAATTTTTATACAAAATTTGGCTGGACTAGGTTTGAAACCGTGTCTAACTTTTTTGAAGTAAGACCGTTCATTATTATTTTTTCTCAATCCATTATGGCAGAAACTGAATTATGAAACGCAGCGCCACGCGTGTTGGGTCAAATCAGTTGTACTGTTTTCTATGATCAGAACATTAGGAATATCCGACGTGACGCGATGCGCTCATACTGGTCATAGTAAATACGCGTGGCGTTGCGTGGCATCGGGTGGCGTCGCGTTTTATAAGTCAGTTTCTGCCTTTATTTATGTATACGGCTTGGACTCACCTGGCTATGCTGAGGAAGCCGCATGAAGCAGTCGCGTGGAGAGGGGTCCAGCCCTCGTTGTCGCCGCGGTTCACGTCCGCCCCGTGCGTCACCAGAAACTCCACCATGTCCAGGTTGTCATCGATGCAAGCCTGTAAACATACGGCCGACATTATGAAGCGACACCTCACATCAACATTCTAACTAATCAAATAAACCATTGCCAATAATTTATGAGAGCAAAAAAATTCGGAACCAAAAAGAAGAAAACACATTAAAAAACGAATTGAAATTGTAAAGATGTTGTAGGTTCCCCGAAAATCGCATAAACCGTTTTCCCCCCTTAAAAGGTCTCTCTTCACCCTTCTCTTTAATCGCCCGTAATTTACTTTGTATCTGTTTTAAAATGTGTTCTCTTCCTTTTTGTATGGGTTTCATCCTGTTCCATATATTTTACACTTTTTACGATTATCTAAGGCATTGGCTGTGGTTTGAATATTATAAATGCGAAAGCGATTTCTTTTGCTATTTTTTTATAGGCGTAGTCGCAACAAATTACCCCACCCCACCTGATTTTAAGTGTAAGTGGAGTCCAGTCCAATCCTAACCTACAGCCGGTCTGAAACCAATCCCCTACCTTAGATTAAAACAAAAAGGGTAGTTACGGCACTAGCCTCACAAAAGTGATCCACATGAATTGTGGTCCACGACTTATCGCTTTAGTCACAACTTGACATGCAAACGACGTACATGTGAACGCCAAAAAGAAATATTGCTAATATTTTGTGTTTATATGATAAAACAATGCCTAAGTGTGTTTTTAAAAAGTGCTCAAATTGCTCAAGAACTAAAAATAAAACCCACGGCATCACTTTTCATTCGTAAGTACAATAAAATATATTTTTTCATAAAAAATGCTGTTTGTTTTGAATCTTATTCGGTAGTGACGTCGAGTACTGGTCGCGTGATTGGTCGGTAGTGCAGTGACGCGGATCTCGCCGTCTCGATCAGTTTTTGTTTGATGCAAGTATGAGCGTACCGTATCTACCCTTTTTGCTTTAATCTAAGTCCCCTACCCCCTACTGGAATCCTACTCGAAATCCGAAACACCACACCACCAAAAGGTAGTGTTATTTTACTGTGGCCTTCTGTAAGGTGGAGGTTGCTTACCTATCCGGCTCTAATTCGAGTGGTCAAGCCGCTATGCCCCTACCTCTCTTAATATTTGATTTTTTGATTAATATATTTGTTTGTTAAACAACTGAAACGATTATACAAAAATTCATATAAAAGAATGAGATTAATATGAATAGATAGATAAGACCATGGAGACGGTTATAAGCATTTTGTTGTAAAAAAAAGGTACCTTGAGGGGAGTGAAATCTGGTATGAATGTATGTATGAAAAACCAATAAAACTACGCTGTCAAAGTCGCGGGCACCCGCTAATTAGAATACATGTAATTGTGCGAAAGAGATGTATGAATCGTAGCAAGTGGGAAAATGTGAATCCTGCGTACGAGAGAAAGACGCCCTGAAAGAATCACAGATGTAAGCTAAGATCGTTTTTAATTAAAAATATCGTAACTCATTCTAGAGACACAATTATATAACTTGGCTTATTAATATCACAGAGTAATTGCCAATGGTGAGAAAATACACATAATCCAGACTGGGAACGAAGAAAAAACAAAGAATTCATCAGAGGATGATGCAGCTGTGGGCCTGTGGGCAGATACCAAGGCCTTTATTGCTAATACGGCAATTTCATATTTTAACGGCAGGTTTTCGCTCGAGGCTCTCCTTCAATTACAGAAACCCGAAACCTAATACCAATGCTTAGTAAGAGTTCCAAAATATATAATCAACTTATTGAAAGCAATAAGTAAATTTATACTCATTCAGCAGTCACATGGTTCATTATCATAGCAGACCCAAAACATCCGAATCGAATTTAATGTCAATGTTTAAGCGGTATCAAACGCTGAAACCATTTAAAACTTTTCGTTACAAATAAATACTTATAAAAAAATGTGTCCAGTTATGTTATTAATTAAAGCAATCGCCCCGGGTTCATCGCGGCAACATCAGTATTGCCAATTTCATACAATTTCGTTTGTCTGCCACACCACTTGCAACGCAGACGCTTTAGTAATAAACAATGTCAAAAGTAAAATGTTGACATTATTCTTTGTATTTTAGTGTATTAAAAAAACAGAGTGAATCAAATACAATTCAGATAAAGGTTTTAATGTGTCGTAGCATCGCAAAAGCTATTTTCACTACTGAACTTTTATTTAACTTTGACTAATTTGACTAATAGATCAACTACATGATACCGACAAACCACAGATATATTAAAAAATTAAAACATTCCGATAAATTACAAATTTATCGGAAAAAATGCTGTTTTAAATTGACAGTTTAAATTTTCGCGCGAAAACGGACCTATGGTTCCGATGACGTCACTCCTGTCTGTCACTGGTCGTACTTGTTCGTCGCTGGCTTTCATACTTTTGCATATTTTTTCGAAGTTCGAGATATTTTTTTGCAAAAATTTAAAATGGACTATCCATTAACATCAGGTGATCCTAACAATACCACTAATATTCCGAAAAAAAGCCGTGTTGACTCATATTTTGTGCCAATGTGTCCATCTTCTACAACAAAGTTTCCAAATAAGTTGTTTTTGACTTTTGATTGAATTAATTCAACTGACCCAAAACTGAGAAAAAAGTCGTTTCAAGCTGCGAAGAGAAATGAAAATTATTCTCCATAGACCATTTTTCGATGATGTGAAAATCACTTTGACGTAAGTTGGCGAATATACTTAATTAATCTGCTTGTACGTAAAAACGCGTTAGTAACCTACCTAATACTTACAAAACCTGTCTATAGCATATTTTTAATTTTACAGTTGGAGAATGAAGTGAAAATTGGATAAAGTTTAAAATGTGTGGCACAGTCTTCACATTGGCAGGACTGCACCAAGCTTCGCGTTTCATTTAAAATAACTGTAACACGATAACCTTCTTTACGTAGTTTATGCTCCGGAGTAACTCGACTTTTTACTGTACATAATTCTCCATCTCTTTTAATTTGGACATAGCCGATTGCGTTATCACCGTAAGATTCTCTTGTTGAGCTGAAATAATTGGTATATATAGAAGCCGCTGAATAAAATACAGAGTTTAACAACTATGATTTATACATACCGTAGTAATTTAGTCCCTTAGGTCCCGTAGGACAAAAAAAGTTACAACCATGTCAACACTAACTCTTGGTAAATTCCTGGAGTCTGCTTTGATAAACCCAACTTCCATTTTTATTAAAAAACACAATTAATATTCCCATTAAATAATATTCACTTTTACAACCACAACCTCAAATAAGTTGTCATAACAGGAGTGACGTCACGAAACGCTGATTGGTGTTTTAAAATACGTTTTTTTCAAGTCATTTTTAATTCGTAATTATTGTTAAAAACCAACATTATGTAAAATAAAAACGTTGCAGTGGCCTTTCTTTTATATTTTTTTAACATTTTAATCATAAACTTTTCATAAATATTATATTTGCATCTTTCCTATTTTGCAGCCCTTCAATGATAAATTATCAAGTAATATTTAGTAATCCGTACAGAAAACTAGGTTTTTTTTTTTTTTTTTTTTTCAAAAAATATGTGCACTATGATTTTTATATTTTATTAAAGGTCTTTTAATGTATCGATGAAGTAAGTACTAGTTGAGACTCGCAAACGAAGGGATCCGTTGCATTGTACACTGATTTACCACTAGATCGAGTATAAAAATCGAGGAATCAAGATTCCTGAACTTTTGTTTTTACTGAAATACATATTCCGTTAATTTGTAAGTGTTTACTTGTAACGGTTCATGGGATACAGTCCAGGAACTAACTGACGGACGAACGGACAGACGGACGAACTGCGGACGCTTAGTAATAGTATGAATATTAGTAAAGGGAGGAGTTCAATGGCGCACTAGTTAGCACGTTCGGCTTGCGATCGTGGAAGTTGAATCACTTTAGCAATGGCGGTCATGGGTGACGAAAAACTTATTATCTCGTACTCCTCCGTGCTTCGGAACGCACATTAAACCATTAGTCTCGGCTGCATCTGCAGTCGTTAACACCCACCAATTTTCACTGAGCCCGCGTGATGGATCAAGGCCCGATCTCTCTATTCCATCCACAGGGAAGGCCTGTGCCCCAGCAGTGAGGACATTAATAGGCTGATGATGAGATAGTTTCCTTTGTCACCCACTGGAGTACGGAACCATAAAACATACACATTTATTTTAGAGTATTAATTGATCATTCGCATTGCAATATGAGGCGTGCTTGCCTGCCCAACTTATATACTGATAATGACACAATAATTGAAGAAATTAATGGCTTTATTAAAATCAGAGTCAAGTACAAATAACTACCATAATTCTACTTTAGCAGAGAGGTAGTATTTATTATGTATTATGGCTGCACGAGATATACAATTTAGTACTTGCATATATCTGTCGGCATGCAAAAAAGGATGGACCGAGGCAACTTCACGTCGTACATCCCTTTTGAAATCAACATAGCTTCAATGTTGTGGTATCACACCGTATTAACATAACATAAATAGCAATATCATTAAAAGTAGCTAATAAAAAATAATACCATAGTAGGACTTTCACAGAACTCAAAATAAAGCCAGCTTTGGCATTGGTCTGATGTAAGGTGTTGTTCGGAAGGAACAGAGCGGCTGCAATAGTTTCCAAAATGTCGGTGATAGACTATTTCATCATCAACAAAGTACATAGTTAGTGCATTCTATTTTTTTATATCATACGAGTTATAAAATCGATGTAAAATTTAACTTAAACATTTAGTTCTGTAACTAAGCTTAATGAGTTAAGAGGGGTTGGGCATAGCGGATTTACCGCTCGAATTGGAGCGCCCGTCTGGGGAAGTAACCTCCACCTTACAGAAGACCACAGTAACACTATTACCTGTTGGTGGTGTTGTGTTTCTGTCGATGAGTAAGATTCCAGGGCTCCTACCCCGTAGGGGATTGGGTCAGGGTAGGCAACGGCGAGTGATACTTATGTATCGCAAACGTCAATAGACTAAAGTGGCCGCTTCACATCAGGCGG